ATCAAACTAAAAAGCTTCTTCACAGCAAAAGAAACAATCGAGAGTGTGAAGAGACAGCCTACAGAATGGGACAAAATCTTTGCCACCTGCACCTCAGGTAGGGCRTTAATTTCCTGGATATACAAAGAACTGAAAAAACTTAATATCCAAAACAAACAAACAGCCCAATTAATAAATAAGCAAAGAAACTAAACAGACACTTCTCAAAAGAAGAAATACCAATGGTCAACAAATATATGAAAAAATGTTCAACCTCTCTAGCAATTAGAGAAATGCTAATTAAAACTACACTGAGATTTCATYTCACTCCAGTCAGAATAGCAATTATCAAGAATACAAAAAAAACAATAAATGTTGGTGAGGATGTGGGAAAGGGCACACTCATACATTGTTGGTGGGACTGCAAATTGGTGCAACCACTCTGGAGAGCAGTATGAAGATTCCTCAAAAAACTAGGAATGGGACCACCATTTGACCCAGTTTTCCTATTCCTTGGTAGATACCCAAAGGGGTTAAAATCAGTATACTACAGTGATGCAGCCACATAAATGTTTATAGCAGTAAATTTCACAATAGCTAAGCTATGGAGACATCCTAGGTGTCCTTCAACAAATAAATGGATAAAGAAAATGTGGTAAGTAAACACAATGGTGTATTACTCAACCATAAAGAAGAATGACTTCATGACACTTGCCATTTGACACTTGGATCTGGAAACTATCATGCTAAGTGAAATAAGCCAATACCAAAAAACCAAAGGTCAAATGTTTTCTTTGATATGTACAAGCTAATCCACAATAAGGGAAGAGGGAGGAGTGGAAGAATTAGAAGTTCACTGGATTAGACAAAAGGGAATGAAGGGAAGGTAGGGGGTAAGAAAAGGAAAGTCAGTGGAATGAATCTGACATAACTTTCCTGTGTACATATATGAATATACAACAGTGAACTTCACTTTCATGTATATCCACAAGAATGGAGCCCTAATTAGCAAAAGAATATTCTACACTTGTATAATTATATCAAAATGGAATCTACTGTCATGTATAACTGAAAAGAATCAATTAAAAAAAATAAGAATAAAGGAGGCACAGTGGGACTAAAGTTAGGAAATGTGGATTTAGCTCGACTAAGAAACAAGTCACATTCTCTGTTTCTCAGGCATCCACTAGGGTCAGGGGGCTGTCCCTCAGCCTCCATTCTCACTATAAAGAAGTTCAGGAGCTAAAATAATTTGGAGGCTTTAACTTCAGAGGGGTCTGTTTCAACATGAGACTCAAAGAAGGTCCAGATGTTTGAAGTGTAAAAAGCATTTCTGTCTACAGGAGGGAATAAAGGCTTGGGATTCTGGGTGGTAGTGGGGAATGATGATAGTTTACAAAGAGAATTAAAGGAAATAAATGCATGGCAAATAGGAGAGTTTGTGCATGAAGTTTCTCAGGTAACAGGCTTCAGAAAAATAGATGATTGCTTGCAACCAAGTCTTTCTGGATGAGATTTCAGATCTTTAGTCTTATTTTCCAAAAATAAATATTTTTTGTTTAATGAGATTGCAGAGAAGGAGTTCATGATAATTGTATTCAGGAGGAACTTCCAATTCAGATAAGGGAACTTTAGCCCCCTCTGAGTTATTCATCCCTGATCCCACCTCCATGTGTATATGAGATGCACATGTTAATAAACTTTCATTTGTTTTKCTGTTGTTAATATGATTTCTGTTATATGGACCTCCAGCAAGAACCTAGAAGGAAAATATTTTTCCTCTTCTATAATATATTAAGAAGAGCATTTACCATGGGGGGAAAAAAACAAATAAACTAATATTCCCCATAGGTAAATTGATCTTGAAGGACTGTGGTTTAAAACTAATCTCTTGTGATTTTGGTTAATATAGATTATCATTCACCAGGTATCATCTCATCCCCAGATTCACTGAAAAWTTTCAAGGCTCAGGAATTGCCCTACAAACATGATGACCCATCTAGATATACTGGTCTCTGACTGACACCAGAGTTATAGGAAGGTGTGCAGTCACCTAATTAAAAAGATTGATACCTTGGTCTTTTCTCTGATTGTTTCAGATTCAGAATCATGTAACATTGCAGGAGACTAGAGAAGTTAAGGTATTTGAATGCTTAGTATTTATCCTGCCCATACCCCTCCTATGTGAAGAGAACATTCTTCTTACCCTGTATCTTTCTCCCTAATTTACAAATAGAATTCTTATACACTCTACCTGCTTGCACCCCCAACATTTTCTTCTCCTATTTATTTCCTTATAACAACATTTAAGTCTAAAATCTCATTCTCAATTGAAAAACTTGACATTTTGAAGTCTTCAAACTTCCACTTAATTTATTTCCCCACTGAATGAAAATGTTTATTATCAGGCAAACTCACTTATACTATTATCTTCTACTTAATGTGGAATGTTATCAGGAAATGAAATGCCTTAACCCATCTAAAATGAATTGGCCTTCTTAGGAATGTTCTTAATAAATAAGTCCAGTGGGGGTGTCTCAGTCTGGTTGATGGAGGAGGGGTACTTTTTGATCTRAGGTTCATAGCTTCTGTTGTGTTCACAGCCTACTATGCTTTGCATATTAGAAATCCCCCTCTTCTAGTCAGGGAGAGCAGATGACTAAAGTCTCATGTTTTATCCAAAGAATGAGGAAATAAAAAGTCAATTTTCCTTGGAGTACCTACTGTGAGCCAGGAGCCATGTGACTATCAGTCAGCTCTGCCTGTGCCACTCATTTGGGTGGATCTAAGGATGCTACCACAACAATGCTTAGGTCATGGCTTGCCTTCAGCTAAGCACATACAAACACGTTTATATACCCAGATACATAAACATATTCCATACATTTAGGCACACACAGACCTATGTACAATACAATCACATCTACTCATACACCGTAGTAAGTGCAGCCACACTGCTCATACTAGTGACATAATACAAACTGCATGCATAAATATGCTTATCATACACATTGGAATAACATACTTTATTTATAGAAGGAAAGGTCATTCAGCTTGGTAGGTTTAAAGATGTCAATGTCAGGAAAAGTCCTGGATTAGTCAAGAAGAGATGTCACATGAGCTGAACCTTGAAAGAACACTTAGGAGTAACTTAGGTAAATGAGGACAGACTATTATTACAGGCAGAGAACAACAAAAACAAAATTGTAGTATCATGAGACTGTGATACATAACTCTGGTTGGAAAACATTGACATGAAAATGCAAACTGGGGAGTGGCAGTGGCTGTTGATGTATGCAGGGCCATCACCTGAAAATCACGAAATGTTCTCCCCAACCTGAGGTCCCAGACAGACTGTCTAGTTGAAGGGAGGCTTTATGAGCTTCATATCTTCTATATTATCAACATACCCCTCCATGCTACAATGGAATTGAATATAGCTATAGCTCCTGGTCTCTCTGTAGTTATTTAATTTCTCCCAGTGACAAGTGAGTGTTTTGATGGGACGCTGGGCCCATATGTATGTATTTCTGTAACGGTCATTCCATTTGCTAYTAACGCATATATGCTCAATTTTGTACCATGAGATATAAATGAAYGTGTGAGAGAGCTTGTGGCTCAGATTTCCTTTTTTCATGAGATTGTTACATTTGTAGGAAGCAAAATCTTGGCTTGGACTTAGGTGATGTTCTTCCATAAATTTCCTCCTGGAAATGTTCTCACTGTGCAAAAGTAAACTGCATTGGAGACACAGCAGGACCAAGAGGGTGACCCAGACCTTTAGAGAGGACGCCATCGCAGTGACCAGGACCACCTGTGTATGCACAGGGAAGAGAGAGGAAAATATTAAGGCATGCCTGGAGGGTTGCGCTGCACTTCAAAATTCCTGTTCCTGGGCTGGAGATATGGCTCAAGCGGTAGCGCGCTCGCCTGGCATGCGTGCCTCCTTTTTCTGTAATTTCTATCTTTTCTATCTAAAAAGTCGATCAAGCTCCTTCCAGTGTTTCTGGGTCCTTCACCCAAGCTTCCTCTGCATAGTTTTGAAACTCACCTTATTCAGATTCTGCRATCCTGTCACTGTTTGCGCTTGGTATCAGTATATGGAAGGGAAGAGCAGAGTCTGCGTCTTTCTTCTCTTAGTGCCCAAGGAGTATTCAGTAGTGGACAAAGGAATGACAGTGGGAGGCACAGCACTCCTGATGATTCGTGCTGCTGGTGGAGTGGAGGGCAGGGTCAAGGATATCTTTTTGTGTGAACCTGATCCTACACTTTCTCATGTAGAACACTTGAGTTCACTCTGAGAATAGCCTTGAGCAAAGGCTGCAAACATCAAAGAAGACTCCTGGGTACAAAGGAATTGCAGGGCACCGAAGAGTGACCCTAGAGAGGGTTATCTATAGTTTTCAGAAGACAACTAGAGATCTGACTTCTAAACTCATTGCCTGACTAACTTCTGGGCTATAATTTGCTGGGCTATGTTCTATGGGAACTCCAGGGGAAAAAAAAAACACCTCTGGAGGTATGAACTGTGGGAACTTTGCTGAAAGGAGAAAGAGTATTTCGTCCAAGGTGCAGTTTATGGATAGACTGAGACACTGAAATATGCTTTCTATCAACGTCTTCAAGGATGGCTTATAGCTAAGCTACCACCATGGAATTTCTCACCGAGCCACATTATTATTAGAATATCAGAATGTTCAGCTTACATCCAGAATTTACCTTCAGACTCTAACTCATATTAAGCATTCTTGGAATAATAGGGAATCATGTGCCAGTAGACTGGCTGGGAGGTTGGCTCAAAGCACATTCTTTATATCCTTCTATACCCTAGTTCTTTAGGTGACCAAGGGGGAATTCTGAGCATCTGAGTTTGGATACCTTAGAGATGATTCCAAGGACAAATAAGGTCACAATCACGTACACATATGTCTTTCTTTCCCTGCCTCCCTCCTCTTTCTTTCCTGAGGATTGAACCCAGGGATGCTCTACCACTGAACTATATCCCCAGCCCTTTTTATGGTTTATTTTGAGATGGGATCTCATTATGTTGCCCAGGCTTGCCTTGAACTTGTAATCCTCTTGCCTCAGCCTTCTGAGTGGCTGGAATTACAAGTATATACCACCATGCCTGGCTTGTCTACAGCCCTTTCTAACAAGTTTGTGTTACCTACTGAAGATTAAAATTCAAGTAATGCTTCAATAAATATAGAAAAGATGGGGGACCAATATTTGAAAAAACAAGAAAAAGATCCATAGTCTTTCAAAGCATCATATTTTATGGGATCTTATAGAATATCAGCAAGCAATTTTGAGACTTGTAAGAAGAATGCATGTGAAAGTAGTTCTTGAATAATATTTGTTATGCTGGCATCTATTGTTGATAATATTATTACATGTAGGATTATTCTATCCTAGACATTTCTAGTGTTAACTAGTTAATCCAGTATGTTCAATAAGTGATATTCTACTTTAAATATAGAAAAAAATTACTGTGAACTCCAGGCACATATCAGGAATCCTACAATACCCTAAGCCCAAAGTCCTAAGTCCTCTTGGATATAAAGCAAATTATATAGGAAGCAACCAGAACTAAATTGTGGGGAGTAGTATCCCTTTATATTACCTTTGTTGGTGACTTCTGATTTGAGTTATTAGAGTGATATTATCCTTTGAATATAAATTTTCAGTTATTTCTTAATAATTTTCTTTCTTTAAACATTTTCTTTAACTCTTTTTTTCTATTAGTTCTTTGATATTTCCTTTGTTGACCACTATTCAATACTTTTTTGTTACACCTGTTTTCAGAACCATAATAGAGACTTAAGTTTCCTGATGCAGATGATAAGAATGTCTCAAGGAGGCTTCATGTGGGCTGCACWTGCTGCCAAGGGTTGCCAGCTCGGTGGGTTCCTGTGCAGTCTATCAGAGAATCAGATAAAGGCCCTGGGGGATGGGAACAAGTCTATTGGGACTTCTTGTTCCAGCAGAAGGGAGACCCAGCAGTGACAGAGTCAAGCTGGCTCTCAGGACAAAGGAGCTAGTTTTATTCATGTGAAAGGGGGAGGGGGTGGACCAGAGTTTAGGACTATTAATTGGCTTTAGATGCATTTTAAAAGGTGTTTTCCTTTGGGCAAACTTTTCAATCTTGAGGGAGGGGTAGTCAGCTGGCTGTCTTGGTGTAAAATGTTAGTTTTTTAAATTATCTTGCTGCATCTTGTATAAATGGTTCTGCCCTGGGATAAGGATGAGCTGCTGTAGCTGTTAAGAGAACACAGATGGGAAATGGGAGTGAACACAAATCAGGGCAGAAACAAGTTAAGGGCCCTGGCAATTTTCTGTGTTGGTGACTCCTCAACAGTTTTATCCTTTTTGTTTCTTGGGGAAGTATCCTGGTTTTAATCATATATCTGTTTCTGAGGCTAGTGACAGAGTTAGTGAGTGAGGGTACAGGAAAGGCACACATTACGCTCTTTATAGCTAAAAAGCCATGAGTTAAAACAGAGTGCAGGGGAAAGCACATACCATGCTTTTAATAACTATTAAGCTGGCCGTTGAGGTCTCTGAACTTTGTAGGAGAGGTCTGACTGTCTCACAAGGGCTCCAAAGATGGAATTCCCAGGGTCCAGGAACTGATGTGTTGGGGAAAAAAATGTTTTTGTTTTCATTAAGCCACAACTGGATTTAGCAATTCCTTCATTTATGAATGCAGGGAAAAAAATAGAAATCATAGATTTTTATATCTGTTTACATTGCTACAAATATCTCAAAATCATTTACATTGATTAGAAGTTCAAAATTATAGTCATAATTATGTTCATATTTACACCTTATTACTAAAAACATTAATAAATACATGTATTATTAAGTATTACTAGGTCACAAACTTTAAATATTTGATACTTAATTTCCTTTATAATCCAAAGGATTATACTTGATGATATTTGTTCTCTTGTTTTCAATTATTATGTTTGCTCTTAATTGTTCTTTGGCTTCACCACAATGCCAAAGGCCTGAATGCCTCAAAAACAAAACAAAACAAAAACAATTTAACCCCCTTTCCCAAGGGATGGTAGAGTAACCCAATGAAAGAATTTTTTTTCCATCAGTAACTATTTATTATAAAAGTATTATAGTTTTATCTCAAAGGATTCAAAAATAGTGATGCTCTGCTATCACCATACGTTTAATATAAAAACCCTTTTCAAAGTACCAAATTCACATCATATTTGATTACCAGCTATTCATATATACATCCAATTTTTTAAAATTTATTTATTTACTCTGATTTGTTATACATGATAGCAGAATGCATTTCAATTCCTAGTACACATATAGGGCACAATTTTTCACGTCTCTGGTTGCTCACAGAATCACACCATTCATGTCTTCATACATGTACTTAGGGTAATGATATCTTTCTTATTCCACCATTTTATTCTATTTTAATGCTGAATAATATTCCATTTTGTATATATACCAGTTTCTTTATCCATTCATCAACTGAARGGCATCTGGTTTGGTTCCACAATTTAGCTATTGTGAATTGCGCTGCAATAATCATCGATGTGGCAGTGTTCCTGTAGTAGGCTATTTAAGTTCTTTAGGTGTAGACCAAGGAGTGGGATAGCTGGATCAAATGGTGGTTCCATTCCAAGTTTTTCAAAGAATCTCCATACTGTTTTCTATATTGGCTTCACTAATTTGCAGTCCCACCAGCAATGTATAAGCATGCCTTTTTCCCCACATCCTCGACAACACTTATTGTTGTTGGTGTTCTTAATAGCTGCCACTCTGACTGGAGTGAGATGAAATCTTAGAGTAGTTTTGATTTGCATTTCTCTAATTGCTAAAGATGTTGAACATTTTTTCATATATTTGTTGATCRATTGTATATTATCTTCTGAGAAGTGTCTGTTCAGTTCTTTGGCCCAATTACTGATTGGGTTGTTTGGTTTTTTGATGTTAAGTTTTCTGAGTTCTTTATATATTCTAGAGATTTGTGCTSTCTCTGATGTGCATAGTAAAAATTTGCTACCATTCTGTAGGCTCTCTATTCACCTCTTTGATTGTTTCTTTTGCTGAGAAGAAGCTTTTCAGCTTGAATCCATCCCATTTATTGATTCTTGATTTTATTTCTTGTGCTATAGGAGTGTTATTAAGGAATGAAAGGAATCTTGATCCTTGAATAACTTTCATCATTTACCTAAGAATTCTCAAGTGATAAAGAAATAAAATTCTTTGTACTTAAAATAATGTGTTGTTTTCAAAACCTACTTTTACCCCAGCTAACCCCCTTTTGATTACTTTTACAGTTTTGATAAATGTGGTATTATTTTATTATTAATAAGGTTATGATGCAGGCTGAGGATACAGTTCAGTGGTAGAATATTTGCTTTAAAATGTGTGAGGCCCTGGATTATACCCCCAGTACAGAAAAAAAAAAAAAA